TAGGTGATGGCAATCCCTGAGCCTGAAACAGCTGATCGTTGGGAGGCCGATCCTACCAACAATCAGCTGCTTGTGCTGCTTCATCAACGTTCGCTGTATAAGACACACAGACCTTTCCATCCACTTTTGGGGATGGAATAAGTGCATCTTATACTCCGAAAAATACAGTATATCTACAATTTCAATTTAGAAGTTTGTTGCAACTCAGAGATTCCAATGTGCTTGATCCAAAATTATTTGGATAAACACTTGGATCTGAATCCAGTTAGGTTTTCTCATCCTAATTGGTCACTACATCATGTTGATTCTGTTGTACAGGTAGCTCTCAACTTACAATCAGAAGATGGTTAAAGTGAGTTCTGATGTTTCTTGCCACAAATTTTAAGCAAATCACTTCAATTAAGGGAATGATGTGGTCATTAAGTAAATCCAGCTTCCCCCATTGACTTTGTCAGAAGCTGCTAGGAAGGTTGCAAACGGCAATCACATCATCCCGGGACATTTCAATGGTCTAAATACATGGCAATTGCCAAATGCCTAAATTTTGATCACATGACCATGGACATGTTGCATCTGGTCAAAGTCCAAGTACCAGTTGTAAATTATTCTTTTCAGCACCACCATAACTTCACATGGTTACTAAATGAGTGGTTGTATGTTGAGGACCTGTGTGTGTGTATCATTGCCCTGTATTTCACTTAAGATACAGGAAAATAAGATCACATTCCTTTCTGTAAGTGAAAAGTGCTATAGTAAAGGTGGCTTATATTCATTACCAAGTCCAAAACTTGGTAAATCCAAGTTTATCAAACTGAACTTCCCACAATGGTGGTAAAAAAAAGGACTTAATGCTTGTTATGACACAACAGCCACTCTTGTATATCCCAATTCACCTTGATGTCCTCGGCATTGGCTGCTTGTAGTTTTTCCCTGAAATGCCCATCCGTTTCCAGCACATTGATAACTTCTTGGAGATAGCGGTGATAATACAAGCCTGTGTCCTGCAGAAAAACGAAAGTCAGGAGTCAGATCCACCAGATGTTCCACTTCTTCAAATGAGGCTTATTGAAATTTCCGGTTACAGATAGTGCTACTCAGGGTACATTAGCACCAGCATTCATAACTGAACTTCAGAAAGGATGCTATCTTACTAAAAAAAATGCAAAATATATTACTAAGCACAAGAAGGCAAAAGTTATGCCTAGAAAACTTTACAATCTAAAACTGAAACTAACCAAGGAGGAAGGGGAAAAATAACAAAAGTGGCTAAAAGTAAAGATAATGCATTTATCTTAGTGATGTCCACTTCAGCCATACCAGTTTAGCTACATCTTCTGCAGATTCTCAATGTGGTGTTAAGTCCCAAATGCTGTGTCACTCCCTTCCACTGTCTTTATCCTCTCACCCACCCCACATTAAAATTTTGGGAGGTAGTTACTGCTTAGGATATGGAGACAGGGAAGCCACTCCAGGTGGAATTGTGCTGGGCTTTAAAGGAGCACATTCCAGTCCAAGCTGGCCTCTCTGGCAAGAAAAAAACCTGTCCCATTTGGGAAGGAACAGTACAATTGTCATGGTATCTTATATGGAGCTTCTATTAAGGCTGCTGCAGTTTGCAAAAATAGCTAAATTGGCTGGTTTGCTTAAGGAAAAATGGTACATTATAATGTATAAAAAAAGAAACTTTATGAACTTTTGCTGAAAACAGATAAAAATCAACAGACAATTTGGGGATTTATTGATTTAAAAGATCTATTTATGGAGAAAAGAGAACCATGTTTATAATATAGGAGGGTGAAGATAGAAATTTAGGCTAGCAACTCATGCAAAAAAAGCTAAACGCTTTAGATATCTTGTTATTCTTACTTTTTCTTTATTCTTTTCTGTTTCCTTTTTTAATTTTTCTTTTAGGTGTTTTTTTTTAGTTTAAACTTATGTAAAATCCTCTTCTAATAAAACACACACACACATGCACATTATGTGTGTGTGTACATATACATACACACTCACACTCACACACATGCACATATACACATACAAAGGCCTTTGCCAAGCACACAACTATGGACATTCCTCAGAATACTTACTGGTGGGTCTGGGGCAGCCTCTTGTTTCTCTTTGGGCCGTTGGATGGGCACACAGATAGCCAACCCTAAGAGGGTAAAGGCCATAAACCACGGTAGATGCATCTTTCTGAGCACCTGAAATCACAAGCCACATAAAGAGGAGGAAGCAATTTAAGAGAGGAAAATAAGCAGACTCAATTTGGAACAGGGCTCCAGTTTAGGAGAGGAAGCTAGAAACTCCAAAATAGGAGTCCTTTGGAAATTTGCTCAGTTCAAACCGGAGCAAGTAACCAATTCCTGGGTCATCATCTTCCATTTCCACAGAAAGAAACTGAAGTGACATGACAGGAGTTTTCAATATAGATCAAGTCCCAAACCCCAAACCCAGAAGTTGTGAATGCTTCAACACTGGAAGTTTTAAAGAAGAGATTGGACAACCATTTGCCAGTGTAGGTTTTCCTGCCTGAGCAGGGGGTTGGACTAGAAGACCTCCAAGGTCCCTTCCAACTCCGTTTTTCTATTAAAACCAAATCCTACAAAATCGCGTAACCCAGAGACACACAAAGAATCTTGACCTTTTTTTTCCCTTTGCTTTTCGACATACCAAAGATTCATTGCCAAATCAATGAATAATACACCCTTCCACACAGCCGGGACCGTACTTACGGTGGAGAACGGCAATCTCTTTCCCTTACAGAAACTGAACCCGAACAGCCGGAGTTGGAGACGGAAATGTGAACAAAATGCACTCTGTACATGCGCAGAGAAACCTTCGGGAACACCGATTTTTTCACACTCGATACTCAAAGCTCTTCTGTGCCAGGACTGCGCACCACGTGACCCAGGCCGCGAACGTTCTACCCACTACTCGGCTCTATCGCCTCTCAGTCCACCTCTAAGCCCCGCCTTGACATCGACCTAGCTGGCCACGCCCCTTTATCCTGAGTTTCGCATACGCCACTTTCTACCGTGTCACGTCCGGCGCTCCATTTTGCATCATGACCTTTATTTCAGACTCTTTTGCATAGAAGGCCACGCCCCCGCTTCCTTTTTCTTCCCCTTATTTGCGTGAGCCTATAAGAATCCTCCCCCTTTCCCGGAAGGAACGCTCCTCCCATTTTTCCTTTTTACAGTTTTCCGTGAAGAACCAAAAAAAAAAAAAAAAGTGATTAAAACCCAAGGACAGATTCACTGAATATAGTGTGTCGGTATACATTCCGTGGCGGGGTTTCCTTATAAATTTGTTTTTCATTGAATTCAAGAAATCAATTGAAGCCTGGGTGAAAAAAGCAAGACCCAGACCTGCTCCTGAGCATGATCAAGGTGCATGAAAATAGAACTATCCAATCTGAGTTACCAAAATCCAGATAATCGTTATCAGTGAAAACTAACTCTTTGCTGTCATCTAATGATGCTGTCCGGATTTTTTGCTAGCCAAATGGAATAGCCCTAATTAAAAACTGCACAGGAATTTTTTAAAATTTAAAATTCAAATGTATCCAAAGGAAAAATCTCAAAATGGATTCTTAAAAGGTGGGCAAATGAAGATTTGGATTCTCCAGAATTCTACCTTAGGTTACATAGAAAGCAAACATAAGGAGGGGCAGGGTTAATGTTTTAAACCAATGTTTCTCAAACTTGGCAATTTTAAGATGTGTGGACTTCAATACCCAGAATTCCCCAGGGCAGGTGAAGAAGAATTCTGGGCATTGAAGTTCATAGCTGCCAATGTTGAGGAATAATGATTTAAGGCAAGCCATGAGGTCCAGTTTTAAAATGGAATCTGAGAATTAGACTTTACAATCTGTTTCTACTTCTGCAGTTCCAGGCAGGCTTCCAAGTGGTTGTTGTCCAAAGGTTTTGGTGGGTTATTTTGTGCAGGGAGTTATGTGGTAGGAATAATAAAAGAATAGAAAAATACAGTACAAGTAGTCTTCAACTTATGACCAGAACTGAGTCCAAAATTTATGTTGCTAAGTGAGACATTTGTTAAGCAAATTTTGCCCCATTTTACGACCTTTCTTGCCACAGTTGTTAAGTGAATTACTGCAGTTAAGTTAGTAACTTTTGTTAAGTGAATCTGGCTTCCTCACTGACTTTGCTTGTCAGAAGGTCACAAAAGATGTTCACATGACCTGGAACACTGCAACCATCATAAATATGAACCAGTTGCCAAGAATCTCAATTTTGATCATGTGATCATTGGGATGTGGTAACTAGTAAGTCTGAAAAACAGTATAAGTTGCTTTCTTGAATGCTGTTGTAATTTCGAATGGTCATTAAGTGAACTGTTGTAAGTCGAGGACTACCTGTATATGAAAAATTATATTAGCGTTCTATTTTATTTTATATCTGCAAATAATCCATTGAAAAAGCAGACAGCAAAATCATCCAAGAAGCACAGGATGGAAGAGAGGAATGCAGGGATCAGTCACAGCTATGAGAAGGTGATCCAGCTAACAACGGTTTGTTTCGGGGGGGGGGGTCAAAAAGGAAGGGAAACTGAGAAGAAAATTGATGGTAAACAAATGATGTAATCCAAACAAAATTAGCACACATAAGAGCCATAAAAATCAGGTCACGCTATGCTAAAATTGGTTTTCTAGAATAGTGGTTTTCATCCTGATGACAACAACTATATTGGCCAGGATTGATGGAAACTGAAGTGGTCCATCTGGATAATGCCAGGTTGCAGGAAGGTAACAGTTGTGGGAGACTGCCTTAGGGTAATTGTGAAAATCATTGTACAAACATTCTGGAATTCATCATTCCAGAACAGAACTCTATTTTTAATCCTTTGTAACTGGCTGGCACTGTCATGGTTACCCATTGTTCAATAAGAAAACAGTAACCTGTTTGGCAAACCTAGCCCTTAACATTAGATATACAAGTGCATAAAGCAGCTTCAGTGAATTGTAGAAATAAAAATATTAATTGGCAGGGACAAAGTTAAGTAAAGTAGCAACTTTTGAACTTGAGTTGATCTATTCCCTGAAGGATTTTTTTTTAAAAAAAAACAGCAAAGGCTGCTTTGCAAAAATATATTGGCAAATACATTTTTAGGATTATAAGATAACGAAGTGCAATGGCCATGCTCCATTGGGAAGATGATATTAGCATGTCAAAAAGGCTGAAATCTCCAAATAAGGTAAGTTAATGAAAGGGGGGGGGGAAATACTTGTTTTCCTATTAAGTTTAAGTACATATGTGTAAAAGACTTATGTGGAAACCTGACTACTGTATTCACGTAGTGTACTAATAGATTTTTTTTAAAAGCATAATTTCTTGAATAAACCTAGTGGTTGATTTCACACATAACATCAAGTCATAAGCTTAGTTTACAAATCATAGTTGGGGTGGAAATTACACCAAGACATAGGACAAGACACATGATGCTAAGGCACAATGTGAACTCAACTGATAACAATTTGTAAAGTTATGAGTAAGATTAAGAAAGTGGTTACGGTAAATAAACTTTCTTTTTTACTTATTGATTTCTAGAATTTGGGTTTTCCTAATTAAAGAGGTCAGCAGTCAGGCTAACAAAAATATGTACTTAACATGGCACAGGGTGAAACTTAGTGGTGCAGAGATAATGATTGGGACAGAATTATGAGGTTATAATCCAATCCAACAATATAACTGTAATGTAAATAAGGGGAAAATATTTCTCTTGATGAAATATGATTGGATAAATAGACAGTCTACCAGCTTACGATAATAAGATACAAAATTGTAAATGACTAGATACTTTCATAGTAAAGTTCCTTTCAGAAACGGTTGGCTCTTTGTCATATCATAGAAACGTATTGTTTTAATGACCATGAAATGTGTGGCCATTGCTGTCTTCTGATACGTTTGTTCAATTTCTTATTAGAGTATGCCACTCTGAAATTTCATGGCGGGTGCCTCATCCAAATATTAATAAGCCTTTTTTTGAAATTTGACAGGTTTAGCACATTTTTGTGATTAAATCAGTGTTTTCCAAACCATTCCAAACTTGGCAATATTTTAGTTGTGTGGACTTCAGCTTCTAGGTTTCCTGGCTAGGGAATGATTAGTTAGGGAATTCTGGAAACTGAAGCCCACATTTAAAATTGCCAAGGTTGAGAAACACTGGTTTAAATAGTAAAGCCAAAGACTATCTTTCCCAAACCATGTTCTGAAACTCCAAAATTCATGGGGATTATGGGAATTTAAAGTACAACAATAGATAAAGCTGATGATGTAAAGACATTTGCATCGGCATGAATGAACATTTAATACTGGGAATGAACGTGCATGCAATTTAACAGATTTAACAGATAATCAGAGTTGGAAGGGACCTTGTAGGTCATCTAGTCCAACCCCCCCACCCAAGCGGGAGACCCTACATCATTTCTGACAAATGGCAGTCCAATCTCTTCCTGAAAGTCTCAAGTGATGGCGCTCCCACAACTTCCGAGGGCAAGCTGTTCCATTGGTTGATTGTTCTCACTGTCACAAAGTTTCTCCTTATTTCCAGGTTAAATCTCTCCTTGTCCAGTTTCCATCTATTATTCCTTGTTTAGCCTACAGGCGCTTTAGAAAATAGCTTGACCCCCTCCTCCCTGTGGCAGCTCCTCAAATATTGGAAGACCTCTAATGTCTCCCCTGGTCCTTCTCTTCACTAGACTAGCCAAGCCCAGTTCCTGCAACCGTTCATTGTACGTTTTAGCCTCCAGTCCCCTAATCATCCTGGTTGCTCTTCTCTGTACTTTTTCTAGAGACTCAACATCTTTTTTATAATGTGGTGAACAAAACTGGATGCAGTACTCTAGGTGTGGTCTTACTAAGGCTTTATAGAGTGGTATTAGTACTTCCCTTGATCTTGATTATATCCCTCTGTTAATACAATTTAGGGTTGCATTAGTGTTTTTGGCGGCTGCTGCACACTGCTGGCTCATATTTAGCTGGTTGTCCACTAAGACTCCAAGATCCCTCTTACTGTTACTGCTGTTGAGCCTGGTTTCACCCAGTCTGTATGCGTACTTTTGGTTTTTCTTGCCAAAGTGTAGGACTTTACTTTTCTCTACATTGAATTTCATTTTGTTAGATATGGCCCAGTGTTCTAGTCTGTCAAGATCCATCTGGATCTTGAGCCTATCTTCTTGGGTGTTAGCTATTCCTGCCAGCTTAGTATCATCTGCAAATTTGGTAAGTTCCCCTTCTCTTCCCTCATCTAAGTTGTTAATGAAGATATTGAAGAGTACTGGGCCTAAGACGGAACCTTGTGGCACCCCACTGCTTACTTCCCTCCATGTAGACTTAGGCCCATTAAGGACTACTCGTTGAGTACGGTTTGCCAGCCAGTTGCAAGTCCATCTAGTGGTGGTGCTATCTATTCAACTTTTTTCTAGCTTACTAAGAAGTAGGTTGTGGTCTACTTTGTCGAATGCTTTGCTGAAATCTAAATTATATGATGTCCACAATATTTTGCTGGTCTTCTAATTTAGTCACTGTGTTGAAGAATGAAATAAGATTGGTTTGGCATGATCTGTTTTTAACAAACCCGTGCTGACTGCTAGTTATTACTTTACTTGTTTCTAGACGTTGGCAAATCTGTTTTCCATTATCTTCCTAGGTATTGATGTTAGGCTGATTGGTCTATAGTTTCCTGGGTCTGCTTTTTTTTCCTTTTTTGAAGATGGGAACCACATCAGCTCTTTTCCAGTCCTCTGGTAGTTCCCTGGTGCTCCAGGATTTTTGAAAGATATGGTACAATGGTTCTGAGATGACCTCTGCCAGCTCCTTTAAAACTCTGGGATGTAATCCATCAGGCCCCAGTGATTTGTTTTCATCAAGATCAGACAGGTGTTCTCTTACTATTTTTTTTGCTTATTTTAACTTTTATTTCTGGTCTGTCTTTTACAGTT